GACTATGTTTAGCCGTGTAAGAAACTGCCAGACTGTCTTCCGAAGTGGCCGTGTACCATTTTGCATTTTCACCAGCAATTTATGAGAGTTCTGTCACTTGTATACTTGTCAGCGAGTCAGTTTTTTGGACTTAAGCCATTCTGATAGGTGTGTAGAGGTTGGGATATAATTTTTAATTTAGTCTTACCATCATATTTTGTTATATCTATCTCATATAATAATCCTATATAATAAAAGGGTAATATGAAAATTGTCCCCTCGACTGAGAGTTTGACTAGAGTATGAACAGGAGGTGGGGCCACCCGCCAACCTCCCACATCCCCTCCCCATGGCCAGCTCGACACTGATTGGACCCCACACCCTGATCCAGGGCAGGGCTGGCCAGACCCCACCCGTGTACGAATTCATGCACCGGGCCTCTAGTCCTCTATAATAAAAGGCTAATATGCAAATTGTCCCCTCAACCAGGAGTTGGACTGGGAGTGTAACTGGGAGTTTGACCAGGGGGTGGAGCTGGCTGGCCAACTGCCCACGGCCCCTCTCCACAGCTGGCCCCGCCCCAGTCACCCTCCCCCCACCTCCTGATCAAGGGCAGGGCAGGCTGGCCAGCCACCAACGGCTCCTCTTGGCTGGCCCAGCCTGATCACCCCAATCAGGGCAGGCCAGCCGGACCCCACCCATGTATGAATTTGTGCACCGGGCCTCTAATAGAAACATAAGCTTTCTCCTGACATTTCTCTTTAAATTACTATTAAAAGAATGTGTGCTTTTCCCCCATTTGAATAACAGTTATAGATGTTTAAATAGCATTTCACTTATTACAATCTATAATAATAGAACTGTAATATGCTAATTAGACTGGATGTCCTCCCGGATGAAGCTGCAGTGGGCAGGGGCTGAGGCAGAGGCGTCAGGCCCGCGGCAGCGGCAGGCAGGGGCTGGGCCAAGGCCCTCGCACAAATTTCGTCGTCGAGCCTCCAGTAAAATGTGATTACCTGTTCTCTTTTCCTTTCTTATTACTATTAGTATAATAGTAATAGTTTATAAGCTGCATACTATTGGCGTCAAGTTACATTCCATTGCTGTTGATGTTTCATGTTGCTTGCTTTTGTTTAACTTTTTATTCTCATTTTCCATTCTTCAAAGTCAAATTTTTTGCTTTTTTGTTTGTTCATAAAGCTTTTTTGTTTCTGTTACATGATGTAGTTTTGTACCAATGGCTAGAAGCAAATCGTCATGGCGGGAGCCAAGATGCTGCAAATACGACCTCAGGTAAAAATAAAAAGTTGAGGTGTTAGAAATCATTATTCGTCCAAGCCCATCGTAATTGTTTGTTTATTCATTTTTGCTCAGGTAAAAAATAGGTATTGTTTTGTGTTTCTATTCTTTCTTCTTCATCTTAATTTTTTTTAAGATTGCATTTGCTTCAAGCCTTGAAAAAAATTATTCATGATCCTGTAAGCTCTCTTGGCAGATATGTCCTATTTTTTAGGGGGGGAAATTTAACTGCAGCTAGGTTTAGGAGGAGATTACTTGACAGTGTTATTTGAAATTAAGACTTTATGTAGTTGTAGTGGGGGGTATTAATATTTGCACAAATTTACAATCCTTGTTCACTTCAGGATAATATTTGAAGGTGGATTTTAAGTTAAGTAAAGGATGCTTATATATAATTTCTAGTTTCTGGGAATCCAGATTCTTAGACTGATTCATTTCTCCTGCTAAGTCCTAGTAATAGAATCTAAGTTAGAGGTTTATTAAAACCTACCTGGGCTCAAAATGAGAAGGTAAGGTTACTCTCCCATTTCACATCTCCAAAAGGTATCTCCAGGTTTTTCCTCTCCGACCGGTGCTAGTAGGAATAACTGAACCCACCCCTTTCCAAACCCTCAGCAGTGTTACCAGCATTTCTCCGTAGTTGTTTATTCCCCTAATTTCCTTCAAAATAATATTTGCCAAGACAGCTGCATATATATAGCAATGATCTTTCCTAATGCCCCCACCCCACTTTGTGGCACTCTACGGAAAGGTGGTGGTGGTGATGGTGATGATGATGGTGGTGGTGGTGATGGTGGTGGTGGTGGTGGTGGTGGTGATGATGATGGTGGTGGTGGTGGTGATGGTGGTGGTGGTGATGGTGGTGGTGATGATGATGATTCTGTTTGTGTTTTTTGTTGTTGTTATGTTTGGGTTTCTGTTTTCATGAGTTTTTTGGGATTTGTTTTTGTGAATTTTCTCTCTCTCTGAGGTGGTTTTCCCTCTCTCTCTTCTGGTGATTAATTGGTTCTCAAGAGGGTGTGGTGTTCCTTAGGGAGCAGAACAATTATGTTGAAAATGGCACTGTCATGACTTTTCTGATTTACCTTTTGTAACTTCATATATGAATGAGGAGAATGTTACTATTTTAACTGAACTCAGGCAGGAATCATTAAAAGGTAAGTGTTGCAAGGAGTTCTGTCCTGCGTATGTGCCGTTTCTTATGCCCCACAGTGTTTCATATTTTATTTACATTCATGGGTAATAAAAATAAGCATTTCGGGGATTATGGGTGGGCGAAAGAGGGCATTTTTGGGTGGCTGCGTATTTCTGAGGCTATCCTGTTGCTGTCAGTAGCACAGTCAGCAGATAGACCTTTAGAACCAGGAGGGAGTGTCTGTTTTCTTTTTTCTCTGACTTGAGGTGAAGTAAAAAGTAACCTTTTTTTTAAAATGAAGAAGTGACTAATCTAGAATACAGGATTAGCTTAAAGATGACATTCCTCCTCCTGAAATAAACTCTTTTCTTCAGACATGAGAAGTAAACACCATTTCCCATTGACTTTTTGATGTTTACAGACCCTTAGAAAATGGTAACTTCCCATAGGGATGCCTTTGACATTTGTCTCCTGGAAGTGAAAGTTCTCTACCCCATCTCTTAAAAGATGGAAACATGGGGTAGAAAGATGAAGTGTTTGCCTAAATAAATAGGAGGAACAACACTAGCCAGGGGCTCAAATTAGAAGCAGTAGTTACTTGCAGCAAACCTATTTAAATTGTGTGCCTTTGTTCAAAAAAGCTCTTGGATATTATATTGCAATCTCCAGCAAGGTTTTAGAGCAAGCATGTCAAACTTAAAGATTAACACGGGCCAAATAATCAAGGTTTAAGTTTATGAGGGCCGCAAAAAAACAAAAGCTTCAATTTTCATAGAAAGGTAGGTTTATTTTGATATAGACGAGCTGAATACAAAGGGCTGAAATAAAGGAGTAGTTGTTACCATAAGATAATAGAACCCTTTAATAAAAATTAATTTTTAATATTAACTTATCAGACCCTGAATGCACAAATTAATAAGCATAACACAAATAAACCTATTTTTCTTGTTCTCCGAAAGCAAAATATTTCCTGTTGCGCACACCAAACAAGTCAGTCCAAGACTAATGATGTGGCAATTGGCTGCTAAAATATTCGCTGCTAGTATTAGTGAAGAGAAATGGTGCACGTGTGCATAAGGCGTGTAAGGGAAATGGATGCAACATGATTATAGTAATCTAGTCATAATCTAGTAATTTGTTAATAATTATGTAGAACAAGATATTGTAAAAATTAAGTTATGAAAATTTTATTGAAATGTTTTTTACATACTGTTATATTGGCTGGGCTGAAAAAATATTTGTTGTGGGCTGCATGAGTTTGACATGTTTGTTTTAGAGTGTGCCTTTTTTCTCCTGTGATCTGTTTTGCACTAAAAGTTGTTTTAATATTCATCTCTTCATATTTTTATGAAAAATGGGAATGGAGTTTGACATGTCCAAGTGTGACTCATAAATTGCTTATTGATATTTTTACTTTTACAAATACTGGTAACTGGCATTTATCTTTTGATATAGCAGCTCGTGTTTTGCACTTACAAAGTAAACTTTTTAAAAAATATATATTTTATTGATTTTGTACAGAGAGGAAGGGAGAGAGATAGAGAGTCAGAAACGTCGATGAGAGAGAGTCATCAATCAGCTGCCTCTTGCACACCCCCTACTGGGGATATGCCCGCAACCAGGGTACATGCCCTTGACAGGAATCGAACCCGGGACCTTTCAGCCCCCAAGCCGACACTCTATCCATTGAGCCAAACCGGTCCTGGCCATTTAAAAAGTAAACTTTAAAAGTACAAAAAGCACAGGAGAAAGAATAAAGTTGCTCCAAGGTCTTCTACTTTCTCAATCTCACCTTTTTAAAACTGAGAATTTAAGATCCATCCACCTTAAAATAGTTTATGAAACTAAGGCATTTGTAGGTAACAGGTCTCAAGGGGGTTAATTTGATCGAAGAGATAGAGAACTGAGCTGACAGCTATTATTAAATTTCCTTATATATAACAAGCAAAGACTAGTCTACTTTTCTTTCCAGAGTTTTGACAGGTGATGAACTTGGCTTAGAATAGATTGTTTCTTTTCAGAGTGCAGTGTGTTTTGTCTACTAAGCCTAGACAACTCAGTAATGATGTTTCTAACTTTGTTAATTCTTGTAAAAGCCTGGAGATGCAGTCACATTTATGAGAGAATTTTGTGGAAATTTAAGCCCACTGCCTTTTTTGAGTACTGCAGCATTGTGTCTGTCCATGTACAAAATTTTGGGATCATAAGAGGTATGATCAATTTAATTCAGGATGTTTCTGTAATGAATTAAATATTTACAAGTAGATATTTTTATCATTAGATACTGCATTGAGGACAATAATTAGTTTACGGCAAGGACTATATCATATCTGACTTTTAGTATCACTTGTCTATCCAGGATTTAAAAATTCAGATTCTAAAGTCTTCAATGCAGACCTTTTATTACAGGTGTTTGTGTTTTGTTTTGTTTTTCATTCGTCCATTGAGAATTTTACAATGCAGACTGTTAGGAGTAGAATTGAATTAGATTTCAATACCATCAGTCAATATAACTACAAAATAAAACTAAAGCTATGGCATGCTTTTGAGGAAATTCTGGATACTAATTGTTAATTATTTGTTATAGGTGAAAATTTTGACCAGAGTCCTTTGAGAAGAACATTCAAATCCAAGGTTCTGGCCCACTATCCTCAGAATATAGAGTGGAACCCTTTTGATCAAGATGCAGTGAATATGGTATGTATTTTTCTTTCTTTTTTAGCCTTTTTATTTTACTGAGATGACAGTAGTGACTATTTTGAATGTCTTACATTATTTAATTAATTAATTAATTAAAATATATTTTATTGATTTTTTTAGAGAGGAAGGGAGAGGGATAGAGAGTTAGAAACATCGATGAGAAAGAGTCATCGATCAGTTGCCTCTTGCACGCCCCCTACTGGGGATGTGCCCACAACCAAGATATATACATGCCCTTGACTGGAATCGAACCTGGGACCTTCAGTCCTCAGGCTAACGCTCTATCCACTGAGCCAAACCGATTTCGGCAATTTATTTATTTATTTATTTGTTTATTTATTTATTTATTTATGTTAGCCCTCACTCAAGGATATTTTTCAATTTATTTATTTTTTTTTAAGTGAGGAAAGGGAGGGGGAGAGAAGGGGAAAGAGAGAGAGAGAGAGAGAGAAACATCCATGTAAGATGTTTTTCTCACATTGGTTGCATCACAGTCAGGGATTGAGCCTACAACCGAGGTACATGCCCTTGGCTGAAATTGAACCTGGGACCCAGTGCTCTAACCACTGGACAACCAGCTAGGGTATTATTTAATTCTTTAAATATCCATTTTTATATGATAATATACTCATTTATAGTTGTAAAAAATTAAACTCAGGGAGTTTCAGTAACTTGCCTGAGGTCCCCATAGCAAATAATTACGTACAGTGGACCCCCTCCAAACCATTTTCTCTTCCTACTAATAAAAGCTGTGTTGTATGTTTGTATTAACTAACACAGAGATGGCTTTGATAAACAGTGATATTACTTTATTTTCCTGGAAAGAATCCTGATGGAAGGAATATGATTACAGTTCTCTTATTTCAAGGAATGTTGTATGATAGACCTGGAATGTACCATAGTCGCAGAGTAAAGAGAGAAAGGACCTTTAGTGAGTCATTTAAACAGTAGGAATTTGTTTGTAAGGGCTTTGAATTAATGTCATGTATTACCAGTGGTGATTTTAAGCCCCTTTAGAGATTCTTGGGGCTAGCTAACCTAAGTAGGTCATAGTTTACAGTTCATTTAGAAATTTACAAATTAATCGTATCTATTAATAATAAAGAGGGAATATGCTAATTGACCAATCTCACCCTCACTAAGATGGTGGCACACATAGCCAATAAAGTGGGAATACACTTCCGAAACCAGTTTGGCTCAGTGGATAGAGCGTCAGTCTGTGGACTGAAAGGTCCCAGCTTCAATTCTGGTCAAGGGCACGTACATTGGTTGCGGGCACATCCCCGGTAGGGGGTGTGCAGGAGGCAGCTGGTCAATGTTTCTCTCTCTTATTGATGTATCTAGCTCTCTATCCCTCTCCCTTCCTCTCTGTAAAAACTCAATAAAATATTTTTTTTTAAAAAGAGGGAATATACTAATTGACTGCCACATCCTCAAAAGATTATGGTGCCTGGCCCCCTCAGCTCTGCCTTATCCAGCCAGAGACCCCCCCAGTCCCCTCAGCCCTGCTGGGGAAGGCAGTTGGGGATGATCATGCTAGCACGGGAGCAGTTAGGCATCAATCATGTTGGCAGGGGAGTGGTTGGGGGCTATCAGGCAGGCAGGCAGGCAGGAGAGTGGTTAGGAGCCAGCAGTCCCAGACTGTGGGATGTCTGACTGCCAGTTGTGGGATTGAGCCTAAACCAGCAGTTGGACACCCCCCGAGGGGTCCCAGATTGGAGAGGGTGCAGGCTGGGCTGAGAAACACTCCCCCTCCCTCCACAGATTTCATGCATCAGGCCTCTAGTGGGAAAATTATTAAAGAGAGTAAAAATAAAGCAATGGAAAAATGGATAAGAATGTAAATAGATTATAACACTCGATCCTCTTAAATTAGTAAGATATTTCAAAGTATAAATTACTTTGTGAGAGATTAGAATGGTGTCCACAGCTAGGGTCTTAACTACAATATAAACCCACAGTCATTTGGAACCAGATATCATACTTGATGTGTATGTGTTTTCCTTTTAATCATTTGAATGGATTAAAAGTGAGATATTTGTGAAACTAGGGAGGGTCCTGCTTAGAAGCCTGGGTAATATTTTAGACCTCCTTGAACTCTGTGATTATAAAAATCAGGGGGCCCCAAAGTGAGCAAATCAGAGATCAGGCATGATAGGCACCGAAATGATTAAAGGTGGACTGAGACACTACTTGGTATGGGTTATTTTATTGTTGTTGTTGTTTTTTACTATTTTAAAGGTAGAGCCAAAAGACACTGTTACTATAAAGGAAGGAAGTTAATGTTTAGTAGATGATGCTAGACACTTCATGTATGTTACTTTCACATACATGCTTGCATGTACCCATTGAGGACCCTAACTCATATTTCGCAGAGGTTTAATTACTTGCCCAGAGTTATGCAGGGAGTCTCAGAGGTTGAATCCAGATCATTTTCCCCTCCAGCTCACCCCCACCCCCAAACCTCCTGCGTGCTATCTCCCCCAAAGAAAAACTATGCAACTTAGTTTTGATCTGCACCAGGATGATATGGGTCACCCTGGACCTTTGGGTATTTCTGTATCACAGTAAGCCCATTCCAGTCTGGGGCTTGCACCAAGGAGAGAGTAGCGTGGTAATTTTCCTAAGGACAAATGCCTCAGCCTCTTGGTACTTTAAGTCATCACAGAGTCCGGTGCAGTATTTCTCTAAACTGTCACCCAGAACCAAAATAACCAGAGATGCCATTTCATTGGAAGTTAATTCTATGGAGCCCAGCCTCCTCTTTGGTGAAGACAGAACTACAAACGTGAAGTAGAACATAACTGTTGTGCTTATGGGAGTTGGAGAATTATGGACAAGTTTCTGACTGAAATAGCCAACAAGCAGCAGTGACAAAAAATACTTTATCAGCTGCTTATGCCAACAAGTTAATGGGGAAATAGTAGAGTGTCAAAATAAAGCAATGGGAAAATGGGCAAGAATGTAAATAGATTATAACACTTGAGCCTCTTAAATTAGTAAGATATTTCAAAGTATAAATTATTTTGTGAGAAATTAGAATGGTGTCTAGGGTCTTAACAATATAAACCCACAGTCATTTGGAAACAAATATCACATTTGATGTGTGTGTGTGTGTGTGTGTGTGTGTGTGTTTCTTTTAATCACTTAAATGGATTAAAAGTGCGATATTCGTGATAGCTTTTACTTCTGTCTGCAAAAAATTAATTTTTAAATTAATTATTCATTTCCTTGCTCTGTCTTTGCTATTTTTCCTCTCTCCTCGTCTCTGGGGTTATTTTATGTAAGCAGCAAAAGTTTCCCTCTGGAGAATAAACACATGGGTGTGTATTTTGATAGTTAAGCACCACACAGCATTTTGTTCAAGGCTGCAAATCTAAAGGGATTTGCTGGCACTCCTCGAAAATCTCTGAAAAGCATCCCATTAAACTGGTCTGCATTTGGGTCATAGATTTACTGCCCTTAATGTCCTCTCTGATTTATTAGTAAGTGCATTTGTATGAAGCTATAATTTATTCCACCCAAAGGCATAAAGCTTTGTTCTGTTTGTGAGATTTATCTTTATTGTTGGAAGTATTACAGATGTTCCCCCTCCTCGCCCCCCTCCCCCAATGATCCCCTCCTCACTGCTCCTCCTACCTCCAGGCCTTTCCCTCTCCCGCCTCTCCCTCTATTGTTTGTGTCCAGAGCTTTGTTCTTGCTGTTAGCAAAATCCCACTCCAAGGAGTGAGTCACCGCCTTCTTTGGTATCAGTCATTCCTCTAACAAGCAACATTGATACTTTGAAATAAGGATCAGTAATTTCACACACAAATTAAGTACCCCAAAGCAGTGAACTTCATTAAATAAAAAAATTCCACGTGTATGAGTGCAATGCAAATAAAATAGAAAATAGATATAAGTGACAGGTGCAATTGTTTCTGAATTAATTGCTTTTTATACAATGAATGGTCAGATTATTATGATCTCTGAATGCATAATAATCTGGCCACTCAGTGTGTGTGTGTGTGTGTGTGTGTGTGTGTGTGTGTGTGTGTATATATATATATATATATTTTTTTTTTTTTTTTGGTTGTTAATTCAAGAGATTTTTATGGGGGTGGGGATGGAAGTATCATAAAACAGAGAATAATACAACAAACAGTCTTATATCCACCACTCAAAACTAACACATGTTAGCACTGACATTTTGCTTCAGATCCATACCTTTCCTCGTAAAGCAAAGCATTGCAAATAGAGCTGAAGTTTTCCTGCCTTTCCCCCTATTTCAGATCTCTCTGAGCACTCTGTGTTGGCATTCAGATTATTTATGCAGCATTCTGGTAGACATCTTCTCCTTAAGAATCTGAGCTCAGTTGTCCCGTGCACCAAAAGGTTGCTGGTTTAGTTCCTAGTTGGGACACAAGCCTAGATTGTGGGCTCAGTCCCTGGTAAGAGTGAGTGCAGGAGGCAGCCAATTCATGTTTCTCTCTCACATCGATTTTTTCCCCTCTCCCTCTCTCTTTTTCTCCTTGTCTCTCACCCTCTTTCCCTGTTTCTCTCTTCCTCCTCTCTCTCTCTTTCTCCCTTTCTCCCTCCCTTTCTCTCTTCATCTCCCTGTTCCTTTTCCTTTCTCTCACTCTAAAACCAATAAAAACATAGTTTAAAAAAAATGCAGTGAACCTGGGAATTGTTAGAAACAAAATATGATCAATACCTTTGAAGCAAGTTATCCTATATAATAAAGAGGTAATATGCAAATTGACCATCACATCCTCACACAAGATGGCTGCCCCCATGTGATCACAAGATGGCCACCACAAGATGGCATGCATGGGAGGGCAGTTGTGGGCGGCCAAGCCTGCCCTGGAGGGCAGCTGGAGGAGACCAGGCCTTCAGGGGAGGGCAGTTGGGTGATCAGGCTGGCAAGGGAGCAGTTAGGCATCAATCAGGGTCGCAGTGGAGTGATTAGGGAGTGATCAGGTTGGCAGGCAGAAGTGGTTAGGGGCAATCAGGCA